AGTACCTAAAAATAGATAGGAAGAAGGAGGTAAATTATCCTTCCTTTGAGCAAAGAGACAGTCTTAATGCTTGGGTTAGGTGTATTTTCCATCTGTATATGTGGAAAGTAAATAAGGGCCTAAAAAGTGAATATTGTGATGCAGACTGAAGTGGGAGTGCTGCTGCAGCTGAAGCAGTGGGGTGAAAGTTGCATTTCAGTTCTTCATCTTGCATCTCGTTTGGAAGGGAAAATGGATTCTCACTTGTTTGGGAGGGCTGTAGTTAATTTTCATTACTCTTCTTGAAACAGTTTGTATTTTGCTCTTTCTAGGTGTGGGATTTTATTATTCGATGAACTGAGTTGAATTTGATTTTGCGTAGCAAATAAACAGCAGCAAATGGTTTTTATATGTACAGCATTAGCACTGCAGTGTCCACTGTCACTCATCCCAGGGAACATAACACAAGTAACTATTCATTACTCTGCTTACAGCTCTTATGTTTTCGAAACACTTCACAAAGTACTTCATCACACTGTCTCTTCTCCATCAGTTCTTATGGATGTGGAAGTAATGGCACTAATGTTCTGCTGTTAGGTGCGAAGCTAGAGCCCAAACATGCATATCGTGTGTTTGGAAAGGGGATGACTTCCATGGCTGGGATACCTGTGTGAGACAAGGGCTGCACTGACAGTGGACCTAGTGAGCAGGTCTAATGGCGCCTTATACATGGAAGTTTACTTCTGGCAGTGTTTCGTGGGCAAACTTAGGAAGCATTCTCATTGAATATAAAATGTGGGTCCTGCTTTCCTCTAGGACTGAGGCTGCTCCGTTTTGCTGTTGAGTTTGAGGTGCAGTTCCACTCTGCAAAGATTGCATAGGAGGAGAGGAAGGGGGAGTGGTTGTATTTCTTAGTTTAAGGGCTTTTGACATTCAGGTTTGCTTCATCAGCAGATAGAGTTGTTTCTTCTGGCTTGCAGTGCTCTGAGCTTGCCCTTTGGTTTGGAGGGGGCTTGCTACAGACCCTTCCGTTTCTATGCATCAGCCATCACTGCAATGAGAGTAAACCTGCCAGCCTGTTAGATACTTCTTAACAACTGCGTGCAGGTATTAGCAGTAGAATCTTTCTTTAGTGCCATTCATGTAAGTTTATGGGGAATTGGGCATTTTCTGCCTCGTTTGACTAAGTGCTGCAGATGGAAGTGTTGCACACAAGTTCTCTCTGTAACAAAATATAGTTAAAAATGTACTGTTTGTCTGTGCTGGCCATATAACACATTTGTCAGCTTCTGCATACGCTCAGGGGAAGGTTTCTGTTGAATAGAGCACTAGTAGATGGAGCTGTGGCTGAGCAAATCAGGCAAAGGTAGAATTCTGTGGGGTATTACTTGGTCTTGCCCTTTCCCTGACTGCCCACAATCACAGAATCACAGAACCCCAGCCTGGTTTGGGTTGGAAGGGACCTTAAAGCTCATCCAGTTCCAACCCCTGCCACGGGCAGGGACACCTCACACTAGAGCAGCTTGCTCCAAGCCCCTGTGTCCAACCTGGCCTTGAACACTGCCAGGGATGGGGCAGCCACAGCTTCTCTGGGCACCCTGTGCCAGCGCCTCAGCACCCTCACAGGGAAGAGCTTCTGCCTTAGATCTAACCTGAACTTGCCCTCTTTCAGCCTGAACCCATCACCCCTTGTCCTATGGCTGCAGTCCCTGATGAAGGACAAGGATTAGTGGGTTTAAAAGATACTCCTTACGGTGATCCTTTAGAGCAGAGCATCGGGGTGCCTGTTTGGGACCTGCAGTGCCATTTCTAGCTCTGTGGACTGAGGTTCGTATTCGCTTTGGGCAGAAGGAGCTCCGGGTGTCTCTGAAGGTGTCTCTCAAAGGTTGTAGGAGTAGCAGAGCTAAGAGGGTGTGGGACACACATCAGGGTGAGTAAATTGAGTTCGGGCTTTTATGGATGACATCATGCTGCCATCTGTGTGATAAAAACATGAAAACAGTCTGCCCTGATGGGAGCATGGCAATGGACAGGAACCTCAAAGTACAGTTCTGTTTTGGGAAGGGGCAGGCTAAAAATGTCCATTTTGAATGCAGCAGATCTATTTTTGTATTAAAATATTACTTGCTAAATTTAGTGCCGGAGTACTGGTTGAAGAACTGGAGAATGATCTGAGTTTTCTCTACTGTATCAGCCTTGAACAGTCTATTAAGTTTCCATTGTTTATACCCATTTGAAATTCTGTCACTTAGTCATTTTGGAGAGTTCCATGAATAATTCTTTCCCTGGGCCTTTTCTTTCCCTTGATATTGATCTGTTTAGAACAGACAAATCCTTTCCTCTGAGGAAATCAAATAGGAAATAGTGTTAATGCTGAAAGAAAAAGAACGGTTTGGGGTTTTTTTACATAGCTTCCTCTGAACTTTCAGCCTCTTTATTGGCAATGCATCAGGTGAAACATTGTGGCTAATCTGCATCTTCAGTGCAGCCGTTCAATACAACCAACTCAAGGCTGTATTTCCTCATAAAGAATAAGTTTCCTTAGAAATAGGTTGTATTTGCTAATAAATAAGCAAGTTGGTTTTGTACAAAAGCCCTCCTTCTCTCTACCTCTGGCCTGAATTTGGTAGAGTCGCAGTTTTAGCCCATTTTAAATGTTTTTACACAGTTTCTTAGTTTGGGAATTTCCCAAGAGAAACGAGGAGAAGCAGCGAAGCAGTTTGCCTGAGATGTTTGAAATCTGATTTCAGATGATTTATTTTGCATTCCCATTTTTCATATCCAAATTCTCCTGTGATTCCCCCCCCCCCCCCAATTATTTCTAATTCTTCTTTTTTATTTTCAATTAAGAATTAAACAAATTCCAACCTGTTAAGTTCTTCCTGAATCTTTCTGCCTTGAGACTGAAGCTAAAAGCAGGCCTTGACTGGAGGCTCCTCAAAATATAGAACACGATTGTTCTGCTGTTGAAGTTTGCAAAGAGGAAGGCGAGAAATGAGCATTGGTCCTGTGGCAGCAGCCAGAGGCTGTGTTGTAATGTCAGAGTGTGGATTTCTAGAGTCTAGAGACTATCCATCCTGTCACTTAATGGACTTCCATATCCAATTCTAAAATACAGTTATCATAGAATCGTTAGGGTTGGAAAGGACCTTAAGATCATCCAGTTCCAACCCCCGTGCCATGGGCAGGGACACCTCACACTAAACCATGTCAGCCAAGGCTTTGTCCAGCCTGGCCTTGAACACCGCCAGGGATGGAGCATTCACAAGCTTCCTGGGCAACCCATTCCAGTGCCTCAGCACCCTTACAGTAAAGAACTTCCTCCTTATATGCAAGCTAAACTTCCCCTGTTTCAGTTTGAACCCGTTACCCCTTGTCCTGTCACTGCAGTCCCTAATGTTATGGTTTGTTGTGCTTTCCCCTTTGCTTTTCCTCTCCGTACTGAGTGTTCAGAAGTACCTGCTTTCCCTCCCCTGGAAATGAAGGCCTTTGCCTTCTGTGTCATCTTCTCTGCCTTGGCATCAAGGCTTTGCTCTACTGCTTGCAGACCACAGCTGGCTATGGAATGAATTGGGAATGGGAATTAACCCTTCCCTTTGTGAAGGAAGTTTTGCATCAGTGACTTGACATGTTTGGCACTGAAAGAACAGATCACGTGGTCTCTTCCACATCTCCCCAAATGTATGGATGATTTAAAGCGAGGCTGCTCTTTCTGTTCTTCCTTTTCTGCTCCCCTCTCCCAGGTTGTGTTAGATCCTGTCCAAATACTGAATATGAATTGATAGTGCGTTCCCAGGTAACAAATTACATCTGTCTCTGAAAATGAGTCAACGTAATCATGACAAATTAATGAAATAAAGGGGAAATACATTGCTGCAGTCCTGGGGAACATGAGTCAATACGCTTTATGTAATTATTTAATAAAACATCTCTTCTAGTGCACTGAACCAGCCTAAGATACTGAATCAGCCCTATTTATGCAGGAGTAAATAAACTTCCAGTAAGAGCTGGTGACCAGAAGTATGCAATTATGCATTTCCAGAAATAGCCATTAAACCAGTCTGCTTAAATTTTAATCGGACTTCTCTGTATGAAACAGTCTTGATAAGAGGGAGCAGGGGAAAGGAAGGGTTTTTATGGAAGGCCATTCAGATCATCTCATGCTCCAATTTTTTACCTTCTTGCGCATGGAATTGCAAATCTAAATGTTCACAGTCCCAAATCCTGCATGCTGGCTTAATTCTGGTTCCTGGGAGCCATCGCAGTACCAGCACAGAAATACTACATCGATACCAAAGCTGTCGTAAGAAGAGGATGATGTGGAAGTTAGTTAGTGAGGCATTTGAGTTTAGTTAAGCTTTGTCTAGTCCATGTGAGAAATGTCAGAGGACTGATTATCAGCGCGTGAATTCTTATGTATGAAAGTTAAGTCCTAGGCGGTGTCCTGTTACACTGAAAAACCACAAGTTGCCAGGTGCTTCCAGTGGTTTTTGGCCTTCTTTACTTATCTTCCTGGTATGTCTGAGATAAGTAGTGCTAACTGGTTTATATCTGAGACACGAGAGGATGTGTGTTGCCCAGGATCATAAGTAACTGGTTTGTGACTCCAGATGCTGGAGTGAATTCAGTAGGTGCCTGGTTGTGTTCCGCTCAACGTTAGATTTGTGTGGTTTAATGATCAGTGACTGCCACGTTTGTTTTTCAGTCAGCCTAAAATAGCATCAGGATCCTGAGGGGTGGTCTGCTTGCACAACTGGATGTGCAGTAAGCAGCCTGTCATTTGAAGGCTTTACAAATGTACTTGTAGACCTGAAGGTGGTGCTGAGAAATGTTAGCGAATGAAGACAAGAGCACATATGTCCGTCCCTGAGAAGGGCCACTGACCTTTGCATGTGTCGGTCTCTCGGGTGTTAATCTGGTGACCATCTATTTGTTATGGATCCCCTCGTGTCTTTAGAATTCACACGAATGCTGTAGCTTTAAATCAGCTTCTAATGGTCATTGTGCTTTTGTCCTTCCAGGGCATCAGTAGCCTCTTCAGTTCACTTAAAGTGGTCCGGCTGCTTCGGCTGGGTCGTGTGGCTCGGAAGTTGGACCACTACATCGAATACGGCGCAGCGGTCCTGGTCCTGTTGGTGTGTGTGTTTGGTCTCGCAGCACACTGGTTGGCCTGCATTTGGTACAGCATAGGAGACTATGAAGTTATCGATGAGGATACAAACACGATCCGAACTGAGAGCTGGCTCTATCAGCTGGGGATGTCAATAGGAACACCGTACCGCTTTAACACGTCGGGCTTTGGGAAATGGGAAGGTGGGCCAAGCAAGGATTCGGTCTACATCTCCTCGTTGTATTTTACCATGACCAGCCTCACCAGTGTTGGATTTGGGAACATCGCTCCGACTACAGATGGGGAGAAGATCTTTGCTGTTGCCATGATGATGATTGGCTGTAAGTATTTGAGATTCTGTCCCTCACACACAGTGTCAGCTAGCTGTGTGTCTTGAATACTGATATCATAAGAACATCTGGAATCGTGCCAAACGTTATTATGCAGCTTAAAGTGGTTTTGGTGGCAATATAGGTATTTCTTATTGGTTAGGTTGAAAATTGCAGGTCGGAGTATTGCTGTGACTAGCAAATATTCAGTCGTCTTTGAAGCAATTTTCTGTCAATATCCTTTCCATACTCTCTTGTCAGTAAACTGTAAGACGTGGAAAGCCTGAAGTGTTCCAAATGAATGGCCCATGGTGGGCACAGACAGCCTTTGTGCCTCCATTTGGTAGGTGGCAAAATCTCTGTGTGTCTGAGAGCTGTATGTGTTGGACAAGTGAGTTGGTGAGTGAGAAGAGGTCCAGGAGCACATTGGAAGGGAGGGACAACAGCAGTGCTCTAGAGGCCAGAAACTCCACTGTGGGCTGAGCACGCAGCCAGATGTGCTGAGGCAACCAGGGTGATACTGGCCTCGGGCACCTCTGGCTCGCATTTCCTTGTCACAAGGGATTCATATTGCCAAGCTGTGCAGCTTTTGTCACTTCAGAGGAGTATCTGCACTCAAAGTGCCTTGAGAGGTACTTGGAATGGAGAGCCATATGGTGGCCAGCGTTCATGTTTTTCTAGGTAAGGTGGAATTTGAACCAAAAGGAGGGAAAAAAAAGTCTACTTTGTGTGTGGAAGAGCATACAATCCTATGGAGAAGGAGGGAAGCTTCTGTATGGCAGTATTACATCCAGAGGAGAAAAAAATCAGTCCTTGCAAAGCAGAAAATTAAACCCAAATCTATAATGAAAGTCAATTAGCAGCACAGTGCCTGTTATGATAGAAGAGCGAAGCTCTGATTCCAGTGTGTCATTTTACAGCAACACTGGAATTGCATACTGGGAGCGCATGTGCAGTGTTAAGCAGGCTGAAGGTTAGTGAGGAGTATAAAGAAGCATTCCTGATCGCTCGGGGACTGGGATATTTCAGCTATAAAAGTTGTTGATTTTGTTGTTCTAGCTTTTTCCGTTGCTAACAGTCCCATCATCCTAATAAAACGCCATGTAGCAGAAGGGAAATTCATATAAAAGTTGGAGCAAATGCTGTGGTTTTCTCCTGAGAAGGTACATTAGACAGTGAGGCACAAAACAGGCTTCCAAGTGTATTTCCTGGTGAAGGTGCCCGTTTAATAGGAAGTATCCTGACCTTTGGCTATCCTGATCACTGGGTTATGCTGATGATAGTAGCTAGACAAGCATAGCTGGTATTATTCAGTGCCTGCTCCAAACTCTTCCACAAGGGAAAATGTGGTGTAAAGGAGAGGAATTTGTGTAAGATGAATGCTGATAGATACCTGCTCTGAATTCTGAAACGGGCTTTCATTTCAGCCAGTTGTAAAAAGCAGCGTTCTGGCGATTTCAAAGCTCGTGACTGCAGTCACGTTTGAGGGAAACGGTTGTGTTTGGACTTGGGAAGCCTTACATTTCTAACCCTATAGCTGGCTGCGTATCTGAGCACCTTCATCCTGTGATCAGCTGCTTGGGAACCATTAGGGCTGTTCACAGTGCGTGTTTGCTGGAATGGTGACTACGCAGTCCGCTATTAAGAGTTTACCTCTCTGGGTTTTGTAGGGTCTTGATTGCTTTTGATGTACTGAAGCTTTGAGCTGTGGTCATTCTTCAGCATTTTGTTTCGTTTGCAGCTATTTAGTGCTCAATTATTGAGAGACATTCTTCCACCATAAGGTTTTATGTTGAAACAATGCTATTTTGCCTGTAGAATAAGGCCTCGGACATCGATCTGAGCTTGGGCTAGAGCTGTCTTAGAAGAATTTTGTGGGCTCTGTTGGAACCTGGAAGGTTTTCTGGCTAAAGCTTTTTGTTCTGAGTGCCAGAAAAATCCATATTAGTCCCTGGACAAGTAACATGCTTGTCACAAGCTGATGTACTCGCTTATAACAGAGTTGGTGGCTACATGTCCCTGTTCTGGTCCTCATTTTGCAGGCGTCAGATGACCGCATAGATCTGTGCATGGCATTGACAGGGGCTGTGAATTGCCAAAGCATCAGAAATAAGTAACTACAGCGCAATTCTGCCATGTGTTACTGCCCACTATCGGGTGGAAAGGGTATGTCATTTGTTGTTTATCCTTTACCATTAGCACTGCATTCGTTTTAGTTCCTACCTCATGATGCATTCTGAAAAGCTGCTGCTGTTTTTCAGTAGCACAGGGAATGCCTTTTTCTTTCCATGAAGGACGTAGGCAGTGCCTAAGTTTGACTGCCTAAAACTCCTGTTGAAGATAGGTGGGGTTTGCCAGGTCCAGCCTCAAACGCATCACTCCATTAACTTCATCCCTGGTAGAGGAGAAGTCTTGAAGAACTGTGTGGGTTTATCTTGGTTTTGAGGTGGCTAAGTACAGGCTGGACAAAGATAGTCTGTATGCTTAAATGTACAGTCATGTGTGTGTATTTAACTAGTCCAGTGAAATAAGGGAGGTAATCCGTACATTTTCCGTATGGAATGGAGACAGCGCTGTCTCTTTGCCTTGGAGGATGTCACTGGGTTTGTTTATTTGAGTAAAGGCAATATGTTAACAAGATTGGGTTTCAGATGCTAATCCTGCCGTGATAGGGACGGTGTGGAACAGGCACATTCATATGTCAAAGGGATTTCAGCAGAATTTTACTTCAAATAGGCTGGAAATTTTTAATAGGAGGGTAATTTCCCCCCCCTTGGGCTAATTTACCTCCTGTGGATAAACAGTAAAACTTCCATTAGCCTGATGGGGACAGATGCAGATGAGCAGAGAGAAAACTGTAACGTTTCCATCTCTTTGTGTGTTCTAGCTTCTGCTCGCTTTGAATAGCACTAAGTGCTGTGTCAGAGAGCTGGTGGCTAGTTAAACACTGCTGTGGCCAGTGAGGCTCACAGTCGCAACGTGATGAGCAAGGTCAACTTTGAAATATCGGTCTTCTCTTTGTTTGCAGAAGAAGCTGAATTACCTTGAAGTGGAGATCATCCTGGTTCATGAAGACCTTAAACAGTCTCAGAGCTTATAGGCAGTCTGGTTTGGGTTGGAAAGGACCTCAAAGCTCATCCAGTTCCAACCCCTGCCATGGCCAGGGACCCCTTCCACTGGAGCAGCTTGCTCCAAGCCCCTGTGTCCAGCCTGGCCTTGAACACTGCCAGGGATGGGGCAGCCACAGCTTCCCTGGGCACCCTCACAGGGAAGAGCTTCTGCCTTACATGTAATCACAGTCTATCACGTATCATAATTATATATCATTACCATAAATAACAACAGCTGACGTCTTGAAATGCATACATTTAGATACAAACTATGTTGTCAGGAAAATGCAGAATTTATGCTTAAAAGAAGAAAAAGGGAGCCTATGGTTTGTTTTTTTTTCCTCCACGTTTGATATTTCAGAATGACTTTTAATAGAATGGATTTGCTTGTGCAAAGTTGTATCTCTGGGGAAGGCTGGACATGGTGTGTGGTGCTCCCCTTGAGGAGCACTGCCAGGTGGTGAAGGGCTTTTTGGTCCTTGTTTCTAGCCAACTTATGTTTAGTTGTATCTAGGTTTACTTGGTTTACTCATTGAGCATCTTGAGTTGTTGCTCAGGAGGAAAGTCCTGAGTAGCAACAGTGCCTTTATTCTTTGACCCTGGAGTGTTGCCTGTGGAGCCTCTCTGTTTCAGGAGAGCAGTTACTGTGCGAACAGATGGTTTTTAAGACATTTGTTGCTGTCTTCTCCACTGCCAAACTGAAAGGCGTGTGGCACGGTCAGCACAGGACTGTGGTGACATCCGGACAGGATCCTTGTGTCAGAAGGCTCAGAATATTGCAGGTGTTTGAAAGCATAAGCAGTTCCTAGCTGGTGTCCTTCTGTGTGTGTTTAATGTGCTTACAGGCAGAGAGATGGTGTTCATACTCTGTAATTATGTTCCAACTTCTCTAAGACAAGATTTGGCTTTCTCTGCTGCTCAGCCACTGATACATCCCCTTCTGCTCCCCGCTTGCTCCCTGCTTACTCCCTCTGTAAAGCTGATAGCGTAGCAGAAACACATTTGTGTTACATTACCTCTTTGTAGACCCATTGACCACTGGTAGTAGTACTTTGCTTTAATGCCAGATAGCTGTTTAAGAAAAGTAGGTAAGATTGCTTCCTTTTTAAGTATATAAAGTAATAAATCCGGGTAACTCTGAATTACAAATGTAGAGATATGTTAGCGAAGGTACCCTGGGCCAGGAGGAATTTTGACTGAGTGCAAATGTTGGCCTAGTAAGAAGTGGAAGGCGTGTGAGCTTGTAGAAGAGAGGGTGGGCATGTCCTGATAGCAGCGTGTAGACACTGGGAGGGCTCGATGGAGGTGGATATTGGGTGTGCAGCCTGGGGTTGGTGGGGTTTACAGGATTTGTGAAGGACTGCAATACTCACCTTATCGCTCTAGGGATGTGTTGGTCCAGGGGTCAGCTCTAAGGGAACACGCGTTGTTGAAAAATGCTTTTGATTCTTGACTTCAAATGATGTACATCTGTTTGGGAGCAATGAATGATCCAAAAAGAGAGATGAAGTATCCAGGGGTTGCTCGTACGGATTTCTGTTCTGTGGAGGCTTGATGCTATTGCTAAGATATGCAATTCATATTACTGCGTAGCTGTTTTTCCTGAACATATGGTAAATTATAGTTTTGAAAAGCAAACTGTCTTCACATCTGTCAATGAACTGACTTGCATGGTTTTGCCTCACTTTTATGTATTGAGTGTACGTGTATGTAGAGAGAGATGGATGAGTGCTCCTACTGGAAGTAAAGGCAATTAAATCCTCAGCTTCATTTTAAATGAGTCAAAACATATTTGCTTGTCCCTTTTCACAGATGGCCACAAAATTGCTAATTAGTAGGGAGTATGTCTACAGGAGGATCTGTGAGAGAGGCTGATGTTACAGAAAACCAGGTTGGAAACCG